CCGTAGCCAGGTCTGGAAGTGGGGGGGTTCCTTTTGTTCCAAAGTAGAATGCATCACATGTGTAACTTTAGTGCCCAGGGACAAAAAAACATTTCTGAAATATGTAATGGTTCCTTTATTATCACTGTTTATAAACATTTCTAGTACATTTCCACTGATAAGTATGAAAATGCTATTTCCACATGTATGCACAGTGTTACAAGAACAATTATATAATGAGAGGCCATCATCAAAGAAAGAAAACAATTATTAATGTTAATAGGCGAGCGGAACTCCAGTGAGAGTTCGTTTTCACACACGCACACACCCCTGGCTACAGGCTTGAAGTAATGACCTTTAAGGCCATGCTTCTGCAAGCTTATTCTATGGAAATAGTTTATCCTGGTATTGCTAGCTTTTCAAAAAATAGTTTACCTTAGATTGGTTTTTAACTGCTATACATCACTGTAATTTTTGTTTTGTTGTTATTGTTTGATGATGAAGTCGTCCCGACCTAAATATTATGTCATTTTAATCACCCTTCTTCTCTTTTCTAAACGATTTTTACCACGATTCTTCATTCCATTTTCACAATGATTTGAATTGTGCTTTCTAGGTGTCAACCACAGATCTTTGTTCAGACCAATTTTGACTTTGTCTATATATCTTATTGGTTGTCGTTATAAAGTATTAGCTTGTAAATTAAGCTAACTTAGTGTAGATGGTGATTCAAGACCAATTATAAAAACTAGATTTTGTAGGTATATAAAATTAATTTTGGTCTGAAGCTAATTCTTTATCTTTGGTAACAAATCCTACAACATCTATAAGTAATTATCGTGCTTCATTCATGTTCCTAAAATACCCACAAACAAAAGAGACATCATACAAGAACGTAATCATTACACAATTCATTCTTAAGCTTGAGTCCATAAACTCTATTGGGGGACCGGTTGAATTAATAATATAATTGGGTTTTCACCAAACATCCTGAGCTGTACAGTAAAACAAGTACCGTATCTAGTTAGACTGTCTACTACTACTGCTATCAACAATGCATTTCTTTCACCAAATCTTTTTATTCAGTCATCCATTTCGTACAATTGCTTGTGTATAAAGTTAATCGTTAGTGATCTATTAATAGATAAATAACAAAAAAAATCTTTATATTTTAAAAAATTTGCATTCTCTTTACGAAACAACTTTTCTTTCATCCATTACATACCTTCACATCAGAGTAAATAAACGTTTTATTCAACATCATTGCAGTTGGCTTTGTAACGTCAAGATTAAATACTATATTGCCCTTTCACACTGATCAACCAATAATTAATAACAGTTATTTAAGTTTAGTGACAAACATGACCTTATCCTGTCACTCTGATCAATCACTAATTTATAAGTTTTACTGATTTTGTGACACGATTAAACTCTGTTCTGTCTTTTTACAGTAATCAATTAACAATTCTCTCTCTATCATTTCACACACATACATATATATATCTTTAATACGTTTTTGCTTTTATAATAATATGTGTAACAGAAAACACATATCTATGTAAAATAATTACTTTTTAAATATAGTTGTCTTAGCTTGTAGCTGTTCTTTCTTCAGATGATAAAACAATATTAATTGCTTCACCAAGGTTATTCAAGAAATCTCTGTCAGTGTCGTTCAGCGTTTCTACCTCTAGCAGGTTTCTAATTTGCTTCAAAGCTTGTATCAGCACATCATCTACAAAGAATTGTTTATGAACTCGGCGTTTAACACTGAAACAGACTAAATATTTCGCCATTTATAAGCTAAGTATTGATAACACAATAGTAATATCTGTTTGAAACATAAACCATGGCTTTAGAAAAGCCAACAACACAGGCATGTTAAATCCTTCTATGTTTGTAGTGGTAAGTGGTTTTCTGTTATTGTGAATAATATATATAGACATATACAGTAATGGAAATAACTAAAGAAACATGAGTAATACATGGTTCACAAACAATGAATCATAGTAACTAAACAGCAAATTAATGGTAGAAAACATTATCACACAAGATATAAAAGTAAAAAAATTGTGTAATGTATCAGTATTTTGTATGCGAGCTCTTTCTTTTACACAAACTATTAAACCTTGTTTTCATGGTGATATACAGTTTATCAATGTATGACTCTGGAATATTTATTCTGAATATATTTTACTCCTTTCCACAATTCAGCCAAATTGTTTTGTTGCCTTTCAACCTTCTCGGTTCTTATCTTAGCCCAATTAGCTTCAAACATGTTCATATATGGACTTTGTGCAGAACAAGCCATGACTGTTTCATCAGCCTCTTTACCACAAAGATATAACTGATTCCAAGTATTTGCTGTATGCTTGGGATTAATGTCTTGTGGGAAGACAAACCCCCACCTGATAAGTTGTGTACATGAGGGAATGGCATGATGGATCAGAGCCTACCTGTACTTGTCAGCATTCGGTGTGCCATCAGTTTTGGTGCAGATAATTGTCAACTTTTACAAAATTGTAGTCTAAAACTTGTGCTAATTCCTTACCAGGCTTCACTGTAGATGTTGTACGTTGGTAATAATACAGTTCTTCTCTCTACTATTAAACAAACTGTCAAAACGTTGTACATTTGCTGTTGTATTAAAGTTTTTCTTCATTACCCATTCAAGCCGTCTCCAGCCATTATTAAACTGTCACTGATTGTTGCTGAATGATTCAAATTCGGATTCATCTGTAAAGAGTTTGTCTCTACCTTTTTCATTCCACTGTTTCTGGTCTGACTCAAACTTTAGATTTGGTTACCTCTTCTCTGCAGCTACTTGTCATTGAGACAACTTCATTCTAATCTGTATCTCACTTAATCTGTGTTTACAACAAGAGTCATGGCTGATCTGTGCTTGACCATCATTTATCTCGTAAAGATAGTTAATAACACTTTTGGAGAGTTTTGTTTTTTCTTGGTCATTTTTATTAATAAATGCCAGTTTCATTCTCCATTTTCAGAGTCCTACTGAAACAATAAGACTTGCTACAATTTTATGCACGAAGTATCCCTGACCAGGCAGAACCTACATTTCTAAATCCTGAGTCATGAGATATTTCAATCGTGGGAGTCGTGACTGGATTCACACTATCACAACTAAGCATAGTATGACTGTCTGTACATTGATAGACATTACACTAGTGTGGCACTTTTCGATTGGTTAGATGACAACCAACGATAATGTACTCTGAAGCAATTCATTTTCACACTATAAACAGGTATCTTTCCTGTAATATTTAACTTTTAATCTATTTTCCTAACAATTTCCATAATTATTACCAGTACTGTATGTATTGATATTATACATGCAAATAAACATTTAATGCAACATAACAAAAGAAAAAGGCTATATTGTTCTACTGGTATTCATTAAAAAACAAAATAACTTGTATAAAAAAATATTTTACATTGTTTATTTTATGAACTGTAGATGAACAGTTTAGGATAAGTTCTGTAAACAATGGTGAAAATTAGCCCAACAATTGGATTGGTTATGGTGAATAAAAATATCATCAAGACCATTTTTTATAACCCCCAGTGAATACACCCACACAATCATCAAGACTGTCCTTTATAACTCCAGTGAATACACCCACACTATCGTCAAGACTGTCCTTTATAACCCCCAGTGAATACACCCACACAATCGTCAAGACTGTCCTTTATAACCCCCAGTGAATACACCCACACAATCATCAACACTATCCTTTATAACCCCAGTGAATACACCCACACAATCATCAACTGTCCTTTATAACTCCAGTGAATACACCCACACAATCATCAAGACTGTCCTTTATAACTCCAGTGAATACAGCCACACAACCATCAAGACTGTCCTTTATAACTCCAGTAAATACATCTCCCATCAAACCTTTCTTTACAACCCTTTTCAATAGACATACTTACATTTGTCATCACAACCTTTCTTTACAACCTTACTGGTAAGACTCAGTAAGTAATCTTGGGCTGCTAGAGTGGACTGAGATACTTGACAGACATCTTGAGGTTCCAATATATTAATTAGATTACACAAACTAAGAAAGAGCTGAAAGAAATAATGAAAACAGTTCTGTAAATGAGCTATGACATCAGGAAATCAGAGGAAAACTAAAATGAGTAACTAATTAATATCATATTTCCCTAAAAGAAACCTTAGTCTATACTTGTAGAGTTGAAAAAGCTTAACGTGTAATACAGCCTAACATAGTTAATTTTTTATTTGATGTGTCATATAATAATATATCTTTTGTATTATATATTTGTTACAAGCTGTTCCTTCTGTATTGAATTGTCTGGAAGTGTAATTTCGTTTCATTTGTCAGTCAGTTAATAATGTATGCTGGAAAAAATGTATAGATGTCCCTCCTAACTTAATCAACCCCATGCACAATTACGAATTATCTAACTTTTATCCTGAAGGATTTCTTAGTGTCTTGAAGATCTTTCATCATGACGTAGAACTCACTTGAAGTAAATATATGTATAGTAGAGACGATTGATATGGATATTGAAAACTTTTATTTCAAAAGCACAAAACAAGTAACAATGTTTCGACCTCTTTAGGTCATAAGGTTAAGAATGAGATTTGAAAAAATGGCCGTTATTGACCACAAGTTGTGGAGAGGACAGAAATGAGAGGTGTAAGATTGTAGGTGGCGTTGTAAATATTTCATCTATTACATGGAATTTAACAATAAGAAATAATTAGTATCAATATAAAATTGTTGCTTGTTACTGGTACAGATATATTAATGATACATCTAGAGAACACGCATGTAGCTTTTTCAAACACAATACCTCCATACACCCAAATATTAAGTTTACTGGTACAGATATATTAATGATACATCTAGAGAACACGCAT